ACGCACAAACAGCCCTTAGCCTCAGTCATTTGCAAGATGGCGACCACACAACACAAGGCGTTTTGTGATCTGCAATTCAGTGACTGAATCTGTTATTGCGGTGCATCGTGCGTTTCAGCATTGATCCGCCAATGTCAAAGAGCATGGTGGCACAATATACCGTGTTTTTGTGCCACCTTTAGCGACTAATCTGGATGACCTCAAAAACAGAATCACGGCAGCGGTGACTTCAGTGGAAGAAGACACTTTGAGAGGCGTTTGGGACGAATTCAACTATCTTCTCGATGTTGTCCGTACAGCAGGTGGAGGGCACATAGAGCATTTATAAAATGGTTAGTAAAACTTGATAACTCATTAAACCGTTTGTAACTTTTTGTGTAATTGTAACATGTTATCATCGTGAAATATACTGCTTTGTAATTGCGTCCATCTTTTTAAACACCCTGAATAGGCACATACGCGTTTGCAGATCGTGCGGTATTGTAATGCAGTTGCATGAATGATTCTACTGTCTAAAAAGTAAAAAGTATTTTCAATGTGCTATACTAGGCGTCATAACATCAACAACATGCACAGACCAGGGTGGTGAAAGATGATCAAGCAATCTCACACGACTGAGATTGCCTTGGGAGGCGTGATAATTTTATTGTTTTATTTTTATATTTTATTATTTCCCCTCTACGTGACTTTACCGAAAGAACCAAGAATAAAAATAAATGAAAAACAAAAAAATGCACTCAGCAGTGAATTATGCCAAGCTCCAGACTGCTAAAAATTGCTTAAAGTATTATCTTGGTCATTATTAAGGCTCATCAGTTGCTCAAATTCCTATGTATGGACTAGCATCTTGTTACATATTGGGTGGTCTTAAATGTCACATGGGAGACTTAGACCACAACTACTTTTTCATCATGTTGAAAAATGTAACATATGATTTGTAAATGTATATAGTATCTTGCTTTTGTTTTACTTTTTTCTTAGGCTTGTATTTATATTTTGCACGTCTTCATAAAAAAAAATCTGATCTTAAGATATAATCTGAAGAAAGTGCACGTATCTTTGTTATTAATCACCAACGCTTGTCATGCGCATAGACAGGCCCCTGACTCATACATGTAGAATCTCCACCACTGGCTTAGAGGTCATCGTAGTTCAAACGCTCCTTTGAGGAGGAAGACACGTGGTTTGATGATTCCACTGCCACTGTCTCTGCCACTTGTCGATGCTGGTGATGACGACATTCGTGATGTCATCCACTATTCCTGGGCATGGCAGCAATGTGGTTCAGGAACAAAATGCCAACGCGGCCGCCTTCTGGCCACAAGAGGGCTTCAGGAGACAGCTCGTGTAGCGTGCCTCGTCCTCCGTTAAAGGAGCGCAGACTAACGTGGTTCACGATGCGACTCATCATCATAATGGATAGTGTGCCGCTTCTTGATGGCGACGATGATGACGATATTGGGAGAGTGCTGTAATTTGGTTGAGACCCGGGAGTTTATTGACATGAGGTCTGGCACCGGACTGGCGCTCTAATCCCAGCCATTTCCTGATCACATCGTCATCGGATGGAAGGGGGGAAGGTGCTCTGGTTTATTTGGGTGGGGGGCGGTCAAGCGAGCTTCTGTCGTTTGACGCACACAACCAATCCTCTTTCCAGTGATTTGTGACCACGCTTAGAGTACCCGAAACATCACTCGCTGCGGTCTTTGAAACCAATCCCAATTCAATACATTTATTCCGTACCCAATGAGTGGTGCAGGTGCTGATGGTTATGGACCCCCATTCGCAATATATCTAGACGACCAAATGACCACGATCTCATCGAATCTAGGAAGCTAAGTGGGACTGCGCCTGGATACCACTTGAATGGTTTAACCGCCAGGGCTTGCCAGGTGTTGTAGGTGTCAGGCTGCGGGCCGCACGGTGGCCAGGAGATGGCAGTACACCAATGGATGAGATCCTCATAAGGTAAACAAAATGTAATGTACACTACACGTATTTTGTCTATTGATTCAATCTATGCGTGCAAAGCTTAGACCGTCATCCCCTTGCATGCGTTAGGTTTATCCGAGAACTCTGGTTTCGTCATTAGAAGTTTCTTTAAATAACCTCAAGGCTCAGTGACGCTCCCTTTGGCAACTTTATTGGCACTCAAAAAAATTGGAAGTATTAGCACGTACATCAGAACATCTAAAAGGTGATGACACGTGGAGGGAATTCGCCCCATCTCATTACTTCCAATTAGCAAAGTTGGCTACGTATGGTGCGAACAGAGATCAAGAAGTTAATCCCGCTCGTTAGGGCAGGAAACCAAAAACAAGCTGGAAGGCAGCGAGACACCGGTGCCAACAATTACCCATGCTCTGTGGTCTGCCAGTAGTGAGGTTGTAGGAGGCACTTGCAATGTATAGTCCGATATCGTGCACATTGTGGGTCATTTTTCTAATTTGGACCATGATGCCGGCAACACAATGGCCGACCCTTGCATAGGACACAACGGGGATCTGTATCGTTCACTATTAATGTTCATGCACCCTCAGCATTATCTGAACTGGTCCTGGGCCTCCCCTATGAGTACCTGTTGCGGTGTGTCAACATCGCTGCTGGGAATACAAAGGCGTGGTGTTGGTCACCCACCCCCTCGTGTGCCGTTCTGGCCTTCATAAATGCTCGCTGAAAGCACATGCCCCAATAGTCCGTTCAGGCTATAGGGGGATCTTTGTGTCAGTGAGTAATGCGTGTGTATCATGGTCAAGCATAGTGACCATCAGAGTGACAGCCAAGGGATTACGTGCGTCAGAGACAGATGGAGCGATTAAATCAGCACGCGTATTGGTGTTCGCTGGATTATTTCGTGTTAGGATGATGCAAGATGGCCAAGGCTTGATGAGGTATTTATTCAGCAGTAGATTGATCATGGTTGATTTTGTGTATGTGTGTGATGGAGCATCGAGGTACTTTCAAGTACAGGCATGATATGGATTGTTGGCATGGCAGGGCCACGAGAAATGACAAACGTCTGGATGGCCTTCACACAGCAGTGGATAGACCATGGCTCATAACCATAACGACGCTGGGATAATAACAAGTGCCGGATTAAGCTAGTGCGGGGCCTGTAGCATCATGTTATAAAGGGGTCCTAAATAAATAAAAAACATGAATATTAAAACACATAAATGTTTAACTTGCATAGTAAAGTAATTAGATTTTTGCATTTGCTACACAGCCAAATAATACGGCAAATCGCTAACCTTAAACACCCAGTCGTTCAAGTTGAAAGCAGTATAGTACTATACTAATAGAGCAAGTGCAGAATCACTGAACCGGAATTGATAGCTTTAAAGCATTTAGCGCGGGGCCCTTGAAAATGCGGAGCCCGTAGCATATGTAGCTACTTTTGCTACTAGGAGAATACGCACTGATAATAACCACGATGCTGTTTAATGAAAGTAGCACTACAAGACGGGAAACGTCGGCCGGAGTTGAGAAAAAGATGGTAGAAGTTTCTCTATACGGACATGGGCCAAACACATCCCTTCTTTGTCGGCTCAAATTTATCAGAGAAATTGTCTCAGGATCTGAGCAACCGTTACCATCTTTTTTATCCGCCGCGATTCTAATATTTTTTTTACCACAATCCAAAGTAGTTGGCCTTTTTGTGAAATCGAGTGTATAGTTCCTCAGCGAGCCTTCGACACTGCACATGGCCTCAAAGTGCACCTGGCCTGGCGCAGGCGCCGTGGTGACGTCACCGTCACTTCGTGGTGAATGGCGGTTGTTGGTATTGTTATTGTTCCTTATGACCACCAGAGGGCAGTAGTTTGCACGCATCGGTTAGTATCCTTCATGGACGATCGAGATGAACTGTAGCAACCAATGCAATCTCCCCTGCCGATTGAGAACTCATGTAGCTCAAAAGCACGACGACTCGAACCATTATCGGTGCATAATCGTTCGTCGCGCCCTTCATTTGACTCACAGGGCTTGGCCAACGTTGCCCAATGCCGGTATAAACACAGCGAGCGGTGTTTGGCCGATACTGAACATTGTCCAACAACTTGTACCCTTTCACACGAACATTATTTCATTCAGTTGGTCAAACATGCTAGCCTTGAGATGGGTTCCATGGATAGATTGAGTCTGCGGATTGAACCCATCCTTTTGGCACTTTGAATACTCGCCCTTTAAGTGCTTGGGTTTTCTACGGATACTCAAGTTTCTTTCTGAGCTCGGATGCCACGTGATAAGCCACTTCGTTGAGCTATCATTTGTGGCCAGGTCGCGTCTGAAAAAGAAGCTAATAGCTCAGTGGGCTATACCTGGTAGAATAAACATAGATATATATTTGTGGTTTGCTTACCTTTCCTATACTTTGCACTCCTATCGTGTTTTTGTATTGTTTGTTGTTGTAACCTTCTGACCTGCCGCCGCTGGATATTTGTAAAAAAAGAGCTTTATGGCTCATCGGATTCCTCCAGTATAAATAAAGATTCTGATTCTTCCACGACACTCATTAAATGTAATTTCCCAAACATCCCAGTGCAGCAGCTTCATGAAAAAGACCAGGCTTGAAGACTCGCTGATGCCTCAAAGGTTACAATAAATGGCATCTGTATGATATTTATTAAAGCGGTCAAACGTTGTGCTTTGATCTTTTTTTTTAGAAAACCGATATGATAATTCTCAACTTGTAACACAGTGCAGTATTCCCTCGCTCTCGAAGAGAGAGATAGAGCGAGACAGGGTATGGCTCCTGCTCGGCGACAATGGGAAAGGGTTTTTTTAACATCATTTGTACGATCCACCAACCGTTACTACCTCCGCTGTGCTAGATGACAGACCACATCCATATCCACCACCAAGTTTGACTTGTGACAGAGCCTTTGTGTTTCAAATGACACTCACGTGGCGTGTGTTAAAGGATGGAAGGCAGGGCGACGCGCAATACGGTTATCGCACGTGTTTATTACAATCTCGCACGTTCACATTGACTTCGAGCGAGCGGAACATGTACAATGACAACACGATAAGAAAGCAGCGCACAAACACCAACTCTAAAGCTCCACGTCTATCCTCGCTCAGAATGGCGAACACGTGAGCGGCATTAACAGGTGCACCCAGAACCACTGACAACAACGCGAGGCCAATTTGGGACAAGTCCCGTTCGTGTGCACCGATTGAGACGAGTCGAGCACACGAGATGGACATAGCGTGGCGACGCGCGTCCAAGTCGCCGTTGTCTTCCCCGCATTAATGGCTACTCGTTTTAGGCGGAGTCGACCTACGCGATGCGCGTGATGGATTCAGATACCATTTGTAACTGTCGCGCTTCGTGGCCAGGGATGGAACTTGGATGTTCAGGTTTTCTGAGATTCTGCGAGAACCACCGAGGACACCGCGTGGAACACGCGCGCGTGCACGCACTAAGCACTACAACAATACCAGGTCACGTATCCACGAATGGCGGGCTTCGTCGCCGCGCCTGTGCAAGGCTAGTTGCACCGCAAGACCACATACACGACCACAAATACTGCATGTCTTCAATGTGCTTAGCTCAACAAACTGCTGAGACAAGCGAAATTGCTGAGCACCTATTAAGGCGGAAAACAAAATAACTCGTAGCTTAGCGTGAACCACGCCCCGGCTGTCTTCATCTCCCCAGTGATGACATTAACACATCACACCTGGTGCTCATGTATGGCTGAGTCGACCTAAAGGTGCCCATGCATACTAGGTTCATTTATAATTCACCACCGATGGACATCGTGAGGAATTGAACCTGAGTCACATAGTTTGGTGCAAAGAAAAGCCTTATATACATATATAAAACCACACAAATACCGTGCACATATGACCAAATCACCAGGATTGCACCCAATCTCATCAGCTCTGGGGAGCTAGGCAGGGTGAGCCTGACTCGTCCTTAAATGGATGACCACTATGCCAAAGAGACGGGTGCAGTCGGTGTTGTAGAGGGCAATGCAGACAAATATATTGTTCTGCACTCTTCCTCCACCGCAGTAAACATGCAACGTTGGCCTGTGATCGCAACCATTGGCCCAACGTTGCACCAACGTTGGCCCAAGATTCCATGTTTACTGGGATAGTCACCAACCCGCACTGGCCAGCGTGGTGAAGTATGCTAAAATAATTGTCTCATCCAGCAATTGATTCATAAAACCGCGTTGCATCTGTACACACAAATACCACACGCACATACAAGACGAAGGCAAATATCCCATGTACACCCTAAACAGACTTTTGGGGAAAGTGCTGTTTGCGACCTATGAAGGCCAGCATGGCACACGAGGGGGTGGGTGGCCAGCACCACACTAGGCCGCCTTTGTCTCCCAAGTAGAGATATGAATGCACCGCACCAGGTACTCGTTTGAGGATGAGTCGACCTCGGGGAGGCCCAAGGACCGGTTCAGATAATTGTCACTGTTGTTGGTGGCCATGAGCGGGAATCAAACTCTGGTCCGCGGGTTTCGTAACGCAATACGCTAACCGTTGCACTGCCGCACGCCATAACCATTGCACTACACGCACGTACACACTGACGGGCACATGCAGAAAACCCATCACGACATCACAAATCAGGTTAGCAATCCGTCTCCAATTTGGAGCTACTGGTTTTTCACCGTCGCCCAACCGCCAGCACAGCTGGAACATCACTGGTTGCTAAGCGACACAAATTGTGTTCGCCGGCGCAATCACTGCCTTGCATCTGTAGGCCCTACCGGTAACATCAACGGCCCTGTGTTTACTCAGGAAGGACTCACACTAGTCCCAGAACCATGTCTGTAGGGAGGCTCCTGCTACATTGAGATGTTTGGCCATTTCTGTGAGGAACAGCCTGACTTCGTGTGGGAGTAAGCGGACAGAAACACACAGCCAAGTGATTTTGAGACGTGAAAACTAAATGGCCATAATATTCATGGAAACATCGTTGTTAGCGACTACTCAATTCGCTATCGTCGACACTGGAGCCAAGTCCTATTACACAGTCGCCATGTGTAGCTCTAGACTATGTAGACTACGGTAAAACCTTGTTATTTCGGTATTTGTGGATAATTGGGCACGGCTGCGCTTTCGGCATCTATTCGCCATGAGCCGAATTTCTATACGGAATGGTTCAATTTCGGCATACACGTGGAGGGACGCCGCGCGCCACGACCAAAACAATGACTGAGTCTAGTGGCGGCGCGCGTGGTCAGCGTTAGTGCAGACCCGTCGCTTTGGACTTTACCTTGTTTGTGCAAGGCAATCCTTTACAAAATATCGTCCATGCCTACATCAAGAAGTAATAGAAAGGGACTGAAGTATACATCCCTTAGTCTGCACGACAAATCAAAAGTTTTGGATAGAATTGATGCAGGCGTGTCAATGCGTATGTTGTGCGAAGATTTTGGAAAACAAATTTGGATTTTTTTTTTTATTGGGGCAGGAGGCATTGGGGAGTACCACTGTGCATAATTCGGAATAGTGCATAATTCGGCAAGGCCAGAGCTCCATGTATAGAATTAACAGGGTTTCACTTTATATATAAATCACACTCAGATGACTGATGTAAACCCTAAACGTATTCTAGAATGACTAGAAATATGAAATTTGGCACAAATATGTCTTGCCACTTCAACAATCCCAAGGTTTTTTCCAATCATATTTAAGACCCAAACATTTCAGACACTAAGCCATGTGCCTAAGATTCCACGTGGCACAGTGTCGTGATTAACACTTGACGACATAACTTACTTTCTTTGTAATCAGTGGACCAAGTAATTGGCCTCTCGTGGAGTGTGCCACTCAAGCAGATAAAAAAAGGCCGCAACTGGATACTCATAAATATGCTCATATGATAGATATATATGTTTAGTTCAAGAAATGTCGTAACATGCAACAATATATAAATCCAGTTCGGTGGTTATCATAATAGACACACTTTAAAGGTTACGAGTTCAAACCCCAGTCAGCATAGTCAATTCAGCCCATCATCTCCTCCCCGCCCCCAATATTGTCTTATGTAGTATTTTAATCCGGCCTTGAGAATGTGGCATTTCCACCGCTGGCTCATGGCAGCCAAATTAAAATTGCACCTTAAACGTCCCAAATTCTCATTTGAGCGAGAGAGATGCTTCGCGGGAGAAAATAAAAAACCCGATAACACAACCTACAGTTTGTGTTCTCGCAAATACAGTCACTGCGTCATTATATGTGCGCTCTGCAAGGCGGAATACTGCACTAGGAAATACTCAAATGACAGACGCACGTCACGACGAATACACACAAACACGCGGATGCACATTCTGGGGTCGCCGCCTTTGTCGACGATACAGCGCGGTCCAGATGTCTTGTGACCCCCAATTAATTAATTGACCCCTCACAGGTTTTTCCCCTTGCATATTCATTTCTGTTTTAAATAAACCTTACTTCAAAACATATTACGTTTTAGATCATTAAATGGGGGGGGGGTCACAAGGCATCTGGACCATCCTGTAGATCAAACCCGGACGGATGATTGAGCCCAAGTCTTATCGTCATGACATGTGCAGTTGACCACAATAAAGTTCAACACAAATACCCGCAGCAGAACACAGATGCCAATGCTCCAGACTGTCCGGGTCAACCCTGCACAACATCTACACGCACGACAACACAATGACGGCTATTTAAAGGGATGGGGATGGGAAGAGGGGTAACGATTTGTGGTGACCGTGGCGCCCTCTAGGATCCGGAGGGAGTAGTCACGTAGACTTCAAAGAACGACAAACGGATTCGACGCTTTTGAAATACAGCATCCACATCGATCGAGTGCAATGTGTTTTGCACTTCTTGTAAAAGGGGCTCTCGCATGGACAATGCATAATTTGATCAGTGGTAATTCATGACTCCGGTTTGATGAGGAAACATGATCCGCCTCGGGTTTTCCAGTCTCGGTTCCGGACGCCAGTATAGCTGGAGGAAATTGATAATTGTTGTAAGACAGAGGAGGCAACGCACGCACCAATGCTGGATTCCACCAGTACGGTTCTTTGTGGGAAGCCGCGTGGGCTGCGTTCGCCCGTTTGCTCGAGAAAGCGCTGATGGTGAATCCACTGCCACCGCACTCCACTTTCTGAGTCGCATCCTGCCTGAGTCTACGCATCTCTTTGTGAGAGACTGTAGGCCTCTGTGCGAGTCTATGGGTCTCTGACGGAGAGCACTGATGATGACGCCATTGCTAGGGCAATCCACTTTCTCTGCATTCCAATTCCTCAACGTGTCTCAATGTGTCTGTGGCTCTCCATGTGCGTCTACGGGTCTTTGTGTGAGTCTATGAGTCTCTATGTGATGATATGGATCTCTGTGTAAGACTATGTGTGAGTGTATTGGTCTGTGTGTTAGTATATGGATGTCTATGTGAGACTATGGGTCTTCGTGTGAGTCTTTTAGTCGATGTGATAAAGTGCTGGTGATGAAGCCACTGCAAGTGTGTTCCAGTTTCTCAATTACACAAACTACACGCATCACCTGATACTGGAAAATCTGAGGTGGACTTTCTTGCCTCTTCAACCTGGAGTCACGAACTGGATTTGATTGAGCCACACAATAAAATCAATGTGTGATAGTTTTGGTTATTGTATATTAATTGTACATTTCCGGCGAATGTAGTGAGGTCAGATGAAAATCAGGGTCCAATTAGCCCCGTGAACATAATCAATTTTGTTAATGCTATCTCAACCGGTGTTCTAGTGGGTAGAACACTGGTTCACCTTCCTCATAGATAATCAGCATGATATAGCCATACCACCCTCCTGCCCAAAGTGTGCCTATGGCTATTCATCCTAAAGAAAGCCTGGTTTAAATTAGGGCCAACAGTGGAGACACGTGTCTCTCCACTGCTCCTTATACATCAACAGTGCTCTCCCTACAAGAGACTGGTCGCAGCCATAAAACTGGAATTTTCACCAACAAGTTCCAACCAATCCTCTTCCCAGTCAACTGGAGCCACGCTTGCCCATGAGAACACCAATCGAGAGGGCTCTACATTCATACAATACAAAGGAAACACGTTGCATGTATACCCATTGATAGGGCGCTTGACTCACAACTCAAACAATTTACGAGTGGCTAATCTTTCTTGGTCAAGAGTCAATTTCGCCCATCATCCAACCCGGGTCGACAAAATCGGGACTACTTCGTGGGTAGACAACAACGGTTATTTTATGCATGGAATTGTCTCAGCCACAGGAATGTGGAATTTTGCACCACCAGGAACTGCAACGGAGAGATGAGCACCGCTCCATCGCTCGTTTGAGCAGTGAGACACTTGAAATGTTGTGTGTTGTAGCTCAACAGTGGATGTCCTGGCCTGGGGAATGTGGAATTTTCATCATCACCACCACCACACCATTGCACGTGCGAGCGTAGAACCATCTTGCGGTTGGGCTCACTCCCACGTCCACTGCGTACGAGGCCGTGAGCCAGGCGAGCGAGTGGGTGGACGCTGGGCAGGCAGGCAGGCAGGCAGGCAGGCAGGGACGCGGACCATCTCGTCCGCAATCAAGCCACCACGCAGCTGTTGGCCTTCTTGATGGGCGGCCGCGCCACCTGTAGGGGCAGGGGCCTCACGGGCAGAGTCTCGCGGCGGCGCTGCAGAGCGGGGCTCAGGCGGCTCGGGAGGTTCACCTCCCGGAGCAGCTGAGCGAAGACCCGCGTCACCCCTCCGTCCTCCTTGGCCGACGTCTCCACCAGGCAATGGTTCCACTGCAGCTCGACAGTGGCACGGGCCACCTGGATCTGCTGCTGGTGAAGGTCCTGCTGCTGCTGCTGCTCCTGCTGCTCCTGCTGCGGCTGCTGAGGCTGCTGCTGAGGCTGCGGTGGCTGGGTGTCCGCCTTGTTGGCGATCACCACGATGGGAGGGCGCTTGTCCTCCTTGATCTCGAGGACCTCTTCGCGGAGCCTCCTCACCTCCTCGAAGGACTGCGGCTCCTCCAGCGAGAAGACCAACGCGAAAGCGTCCCCGTCGCGGATGTACAGCTTGCGCATGGCCGGGAAGCGGTAGCTGCCACTTGTGTCCATCACCTCCAGCTTGATCTTGGAGCCACCGGCCTCATACTCGAGCGCGTAGAGCTCCTCCACCGTGGGGCGGTAGCGCGTCTCGAAGGCGCCCTGGAGGAAGCGCTTGATGATGGACGTCTTGCCCACGCCGGCGGCGCCCAGGAAGACGAGACGCACCTGGGTGCGCTCGGGCACACCAAGAGACATGGTCACCGGTGATCTCCTCGCTCGTGCCAACCCGTGTGTGGGGAGTACGAGTGCTAGTGGTGTCCAGTTGTGGTCGTCGCTGTTGTGGTGGCGGCGGCCTGTTGTTCTAAAAGATGTTCTCCTTTATTCTAATACTTTTTTCTTTGCACGGATATTTATTTTTCTGGGTGTCGTGCTTCGACGAGGCTTTCCTCTTTTAGCAGATGCCCTTATATTGTTTACCCTTTCTTTCCGTGTAGATGTTATTCTTACACCATTTTTGGCTCCTACATATATTTTTTCTTGAACTCTTTATTCGAACGGATGTACTACTTTGATTATTTTTCGTTGATGATTTTCCTTTCAGATGTTCTATATATTTTTCTCAAATGTATATTCTTTTTCTTCTTTCCAGGAACCCCGTGTGTTTTGGTGACGGATCTGCAAAACAACAATCATAACAATAATAAATCCCTTGATGTACCAAGGAAACCCACACCGAGTCTGAGTTGGGAGTGTTCGGCCAACCAGAGTTTCCACGGAAAACGATGCATATGAAAGAGAATATTAAACGGTCCGCACAGATGGATTCAACAATCCGTTTGCTGCACCGCCACCTCGCAGCCAAGCGTGTTTGAAATTTTTAAAAAATTTCACGATCCACAAACCCCTTGCCGCTGAAGGGCGAGATGCCCGGAGGCGAAACATATTTGTCTTTGATTTATTTTTCTCCAAATTATAGTTCCATTTCGGTATCCGAGTCACGTCAAAAGACATTACCAAGCTGTAGCGTGTACACAATTCTTTGGGACACGCCGTGACGGGTACATACTGCAAGGTCCGACCATGTGCTTGTCATTGGTGACCGGGCTAAGACAATCAACTCTCCACACCTTTATAATGACAAGTTGCTCAAACCCTGCTATCAGCGGGCAAGTGATGCGTGACTGACATGGCCATTATGAATTCGCCTGAGCCACTCGAGAACAACTCGATGATGACTGTTGCACATAAAAGTCATAGTTATAGCCCTTTGTCAATACACTGCTGGATTAGAACTGCTCACACCGTGTCGGCCGTGGAGTTTGTTTGACCATACTTCACCACGCTGGTTCGCGAAGGTTCGGTAGGATGACTGTTAGGGGAAGGGGGGGGTGCAGAACCAGTTCAGATATCACTCACCGCTGAATTTTGGTGGCCGGGTCTCGGGACGCAGTGTGCTAACCACCGCGCCACTACTCCACCCAAAGGCATGCTGTCAATTAACATGGCTGGCTGGCAATTTGAACGTAATGCACAGGGTGTAGACTAAAGAGAACAACGTCATTGAGCAGACGTAACGCCGCCTTCCCGTATTTGTTTTTCCGCATAAAAAACGTGAAAACATTTTGCTACACCACATTAGCAGCATTGGTTCAACGCAAGCAAACTCTGGACCAGTTTCCACGTTCACCGTCTCTGGCAGATGTAGGCTTAGCTTAAACCAATGCTGGTGAATTGTCTGATGTTTAAAGGCAAGGTCCCCCGCTGTGAGAAATGGGCTCTAGTTCAACGCAAAACTATACAATACATAATAGGCATAAGGTAGGCTTCGTTGGGGAGAATACAATACAATGTAGGGTTATTGTATACCACAGAGAACCATTGACTCGCAGCGTCCTCGACTCACAAACTCTTAAGTATCCGAGTTTGCAGAGACCGCCTGCATAGGAATACCAGGTGTTATAGGTTTGGCGTGTGACGTCGCCACGAGATGGCAGCAAAGCGTTCATTTCTTGAATCCATGGATTCAGAACTCCCAACGTTACCCCCTCGTCGTGCCCGCGGGGGTCTTCTCGACCCTCTCCAGTTTCCTTGCACGTGAAGCCAAGCACTTCGTGAATAGCATCGTCCATACATACCCCCCCCCCCCCCATGCATGATCATGGCCATGCAGGTGGGTGATCTCTCACTGGGCCATGGAACTTCCACCGTCGCCTGCGATCCTGAGCAACCCCATCAAATAGGCGCGCACGCGGCACGGACTTGCAAAGCGAGGTTGTTTTACATTCCTCAGCACCTTTCATCTCTCTTTCGCCATGTTCTGTACTGAACATTCCTTTGAATTAGCACTGATTTAATCATATTTAAATGCGCGCACATCAAAGAATGTCCGTGACATTTGTTTAAAATTGCCCTTTGGGGATAAAACTCACGTACATATGAAGACAAATATCCCCCGTATAGCCTTAACAGACAGTAGGGGCAAGTGCTGTTAGCGAGCACCTTTCAAGGCCGGCACGGCACACGAGAGGGTGGGTGGCCAGCACCACGCCCGAACGCCTTGAGTCTCCCTAGTGGCGACGTTTACTGCGCCAGGTACTCAATTGAGGCCGAGTCAACCTACGGGAGGCCCAGGGACCGGCTCAAATAATCCCCCCACGGACATAGAACAACAGCCGCCATTCGCCACTAAGTGGCAGTGACGTCACCGCGGCGCTTGTGCCAGGCTATGTGCACGTTAAGGCCACGTGAAATGTCGAATGTCCGCTGGCAGGTCACAAGACAGACCCAGGTGCAATGGGTCGACTGACTGAGATTACTGGCCGATGCACCTGTGCCCCTTACTGTGCGAACTTCCTGTGTTTTATCCACCCAGCGTTCCATTCGTTGTTGTGAGCATCCTTTCTTGCTGGAGGGCGACTGGTACAGGTTATCGTAAAGTCCACTTAGCTCCACATCCTCTTGTACCACATCACTCCATCTCTTCTGTAGCCCGTGCCACGCCCGTTTAGCCCCCTCGAGGAGGCCGAACAAAAGCTATTTAGGCATGTGATGGCTGGGCATGTGGGCTACATGACCCAGCCAATGCAGCCTTGTCTGCTGGAGCAGCTCACCGAAGGGACTTTGTCCAGTTCTTTTAAGGATTTATGAGCACCTCACACGTGGGCAGGACAGCCTAAATGTTTCCAATCTGCGAAGATGCTCCATTAGGGGGATACACGTTTCGCAAGCGTAGAGAAGGGATGGAATGACCTTGGCCGAGAAGACTCGAAGCTTCATATGGAGCGACAGACCAGGTAGCTTCCACATCGTGTTACACAGCCGATGAAAAAATAATGCCGCTCGACTGATTCGGAGTGAGATCTCTGCTGTCAAACCAGAGCCGGTCATGAGCACACTGCCCAGATATGGAAAACTATCCACATTCTCCACAACAACCCCATCACCAATTGGGAGTTGTAGGGGTGGAGTATCTGATGGCAAAAAATGCCCAGGCAGGTGCTACGTTTTGGTGGGGTCGATGGTAAGGCCCCATCTCTTAGTGGCACGCTCCAGGTTTAGCAGCAGCACCTCCAACTCCTCCTCTGAGTGAACAGCAATTACCAGATCATCAGAATACATAATATGGTTGACTAATAGGATCCCTTGACCGCACCTGGGCATCAATGAGCCTCCCATCATATCTGTACCAGACAAAAATTCCTCCGGTAACGCCATTGAAGGCTTCACAAACTATGTAGTCGAAATAGATGCTAAATAATGTGGGAGCCAATGGACAACCCTGTCGCACCCCAAGGTGAACAGGTAATGGATCCGATTCCCCACCATCATGAAGGTCCTTAATGATTGTGAGCAGACGGTCTGAGCACGAAGGATAACCCAAAGCCCTGGCCTACTGATGGTATCATAGGCCTTGACCAGGTCAATAAAGCAGAGATGTAGGTCTTGTTGGAATTCCTTACACCTCTGCTGTAGCAGAGAGACAGAAAGTATAATCTGTGCAGGACCGCTTTTTGCTGAAACCACATTGGGGCTCCGCAAGCCTCTCCTCAGCGTGCCTGGTATGGCGATGTTGAATAATCCATGCCAGGACCTTTCCAGGCACACTGAGGAAGGATATGCCCCTGTAGTTGTTACAGTCTGTGCAATCCCCCTTATTAAAGAGGGAGACCACCAGGGCATCCTTCCATTCCTGCAGAACCCGTCCAGTTGTAGAGACTGTTATTATGATGTCATATTGGGCAGTCTGCGTGCAAACACCACCCTCCATCAGCATTTTGCTTGGGAGATCATCTTTGCCCAGTGATTTTCCTGGTCTCAGACTCTGGATTTCCTTTTGTATTTCCTCAAACAGATGACACTTCAGCCTGTCACTCACAGGGGGTGACGACTTCTTCCAATATTTGAGGCACAGCAGCCTCAGAAGAGTCAACCCCACTGTGCCCAATGATGTTTTCTAGGCTGAGAGATTTCCTCTAACTCACAGACATGCTCAGGAAATCTGCAAACCTGTTCCTGGGGGTCAGAGATCGGATCACCATCCTTTCAGTGCTGCACGGCTCTCCGAACCTCTGAGTGAAGGCTGCGGTAAGCCTCCTCATTCTCTGACATGGGATTCTAAGCCAGCCGGAACACCTGCTCTGTCAGCCAGGGTCTCTGGGGACGTTTGGACCATGCACCTAAAGCCACTATTGTAGTTGCATGAGCCACAGTCCTAAACTTTGCCCATTTCCCCACAGCATCAGAAGTGGGGGAAGATGCCAACCCCAGCTGCAGGCGATGATGAAATTCTTGCTTGCAGGTTTCATCAGCTAGCTGAGACCAGGCCACTTTTGGTTTGGATGGGGTCCTGGATGTACACACACCACCGGAGTGGAAGAATGGCAGGCGCATCTTACAGATGACAAGCCGATGATCAGTGGGCAGATTAGCTCCACGGTAAGTCCTGGTGTCAAGGATATGGGCCCACATCCGCGGTTCCATCACTATATCATACGGCAGATGTTCTTGCTTGGACCCGGCATGCATCCATGATTTTGTGTGGATGCGCCGATGACAGACAACGTATTTGTAATTTCAAGCCCATGGGCTGCACACAAGTCTAGCAGCCTTCTATCGTTGTAATGGAGACGATCTGACCCATGCCTTCCAATCACTCCAGACCACGTGCCAGCATCATGACCCAATCGGGCATTAAAATCACCCAACAGGATGACTCTATCCTGACGGGCCACTTTAGCTAACACCTGTGACAGGAGGTCAAAGAAGGCATCTGACTCATTGGCCCTGCCTGCATCCCTCCACTGATGTTCATCTTCGGTGGGGGCATAAGTTACCACGACCACCACTCCTCATCTCTGGTTGATGGGAAGACGAGCCCAGAGAAGTATTGGGCTTACAGCTCCCCACACCTCACCGCCACCGTCCCACGCCCCCTTCAAATTTGTGTTCAGAAGAACCACTGCCTGTTAATTGGCAATCTCCTACCCCGAGTAGAGGACTGTCCACCCCTCATTGTGCCAGGAGCCAGAGCCAGTCCACTGGACCTCCTGAATACCGCAGAGATCCAGTAGGTACTGGTCCAGCTCCCGACAGAGGAGTGGCAGCCTCTCCTCCGCAGTGAGTGTTTTCGAACATTCCACGTGGAGACCCGCAATGGCTTTTTGCTGTTCATAGAGGAACCCCGAGGGTGAGGATTCAATCGGGTTAGGTCAGGAAAAGTCATAGACACCCTGTCCCCCCGGGGCCTCCGGCACATGCTTATTTCGATTTTTCACACGTGTTTTAGTGGCAGTTAGGTTGAAGGTGGAGGGATTATCAGCCCCTTGCACCCATCCAGAGCCCCCATTGGCCACTGTGGTGGCTGCAAGCACCATCAGGGGAAAAGCCGAATAGCATTGGCCATTACCCCCATAGAATTGCTCGCATCCACCACAGTGTTACCGTCCGGCGCCACCGAGGAGGTAAGGGTTTATTTTTGCTGGACACACGGTCATACAAAGGACTGACACACAGACATAAAGAGTAAAAAAAAAAATTTGAAAGACATTTTTCCGAACGAATTATTCTAAGTCATTATGATTCTCTTTATTTACCCATGAACACCTCGTTGAGTCTCCAGACTCTTTTTCAAGGAGGGTCCTGCGTTGGGATGTTCGGCCAATTCCATTAACGAGTGTTTGAATTCACGTGGAGCGAAATCAGAGCACGCGGAGAAAACCGATCAAGCATAACGCGTGAGGAGGTGGGGAGGGGCACTGTGCACTACCATCTCCTGGCCATACTTCTCTGTCCCGTGGTCAACAACACGTGGCAAGCCTTGGTGGTCACCCACTGAAGTGCTTAACAGGTTCAACGTTGCTGAGCACTTGAGGGTGCGATGAGAAGAGGCTCGTTTGGAGTAATGCTCCCATTATGCGCCCTGCAGGTTCACGCGACGTCATCGACTCGAGTGGGGTCACAACTGTCGGGGCAAGTGCTCTTAACGAGCACCTATTTAGGCCGGTACGGCGCACAGAGAGGGTAGTGGTGGGTGACCAGCGCTACGCCCCAGTCGCCTCTGTCCGCCCAGTGCTGATGTTTAATACACCGCACCAGGTACTCATTTAAGGCTGAGTCGACCGAGGTGACACCCAGGACACATTAGGATATCACTCGCCACGAATGCTTGCCCGTGCACGGGAATCGAACTCAGGTGGCCGGGTTCGTAATGCACTGCGCGCGCGAGCCACTGTGTTACCTCTCCCCAGAACAACACAGACGAAGATCACTCGAATAGCCTTTCGTAATCGGGCAAGTGCTGTTGGCGAGCACCCAATAAGGCAGACAAAGTACACGGGGAGGAGCTGGGGTCGCTGGGTTCGTAGCGCAGTGCGCTAACCACTGCACCATCGATCTCCGAGAACAACACAGACATATCCCATCACGTGCCAGGCTGTTTGCGAGCACCTATTAGGATCATCACAGTACATACGGGATAAGTGGCGTGGCCAGAACAAGCACTCGCGGTCTCCTTTGTCTCACCAGTACTGATGTTGACACGCAACAGGTATTAATTTAAGGCTGAGTTTATCCAGCGCACGCCAAAGCCAAGTTTTATGCATCTATCGCCACTGGCGATTGCCATATGACCTGGTATCGAACCCTGGTGTTTGGTTAGAGGCAGCACTCGCAATAAAGATTGCACAAAGGCAAACACACCCGCACTGTAAACGTGTATGCACCCACACACAATTCACTGGGTGCAGACTTGTTCATACGCACAAACGCACGTGCACACGGACACGCACGCACAAACACACGCACGCGCGCGCTATTCACACCTGCAAACGCCACACACACACAATTATAACACAATTGTAAAAAAAAAAATCGATATCACCGGGGTTGGTCAAACATCCCATGACTGCAAATCACGCAATTGGGATGATACACAGCGGCAGTCAGCGGCAGCAGCAGCAGCATCGCCCCTCCCCCTACTGTGGGAACTTTGGCCAGGGCCATCCTGAAAAAAAGAGTCTTGAGACTCAGAGTGATGCTTTTCGGGATGAACACGTGTTGTAACAACAATAATGACAGATATGATTGCACGCGTACGCATACACACGCGCAAAGTAATTAACGCGTACATACTTGAATATAAAAATAAGCTAAATAGCTCCGTGGGCTTTACATGGTAAGATTAAAAAAAAGATAATTATTTAGTTTTATTTGTATAAAATTTTTACTGATTTGTTTACCTTTTCTCTACTTTGCACACCTATTGTTGTATTGTTTGTTGTTGTAACGTTCTGAGCTGCCCCTACTGGACATCTGTTAAAAAGAGCTTTATTGCTCATCGGATTACTCCAGTACGAATACATATTGTGATATACATTCATGTGCACACACAGAGTTCAAACACACACACCCGCAATACACATATATAATCCTAGAGTCATTATTTACATCCCTACCGAATGAAAGGGTTGTATGAATACTTAGTGTACTTCACTATGGGCAGAGGAGCGTGGGGTGGGAGAGATATGCAAGGCCGACTGAGAATCGAACTTAAGTGGCCTGGTTCACGGTTCAGTGCGCTAACCACAGCGTCACCGCTCCTCCTCGATGTACAAACGATACGGTGCCAATTCGAGCGCATACGCTATTCAAATACGCATGCGATTCACGCAGAAACAGACAACAGTGCAAACACGCGTGCAAATACACACGCGTGCAAACAGATGATTGCACACAAACACACGCACGTGTATATGGTCATGTAAATATCAATTTAAGAAATGCAAAATCGTGCTAATAACAAATCTAATGCTCACGGTCTGTAACGTATTCGTACAAACAAACGCGACATATGAACACATTCAATTGAAATACAGCGCGTGCACAAACGGCACTGACGCGCAACAGACGCGCATGCATTGACTGAAAAATAAACTCGCACAAGGACAATTCACACTCGCAATTCAAACCGCACGAATGCGCAATTTAAACACCCGAATGCCTTTCACGGCTAAAACTCGCACATGGCGCATGTGACAAGCACAACATTTCCCGAGCGCAGCTGTGATTCACACACACACGATCACAACTCACACCGCTACATTCACTCTCTCTTACAAAGACAAAGATGCACAGTGTAGCCTTAACAGACTGTTGGGGCAGCAAGTGCTGTTAGCGAGCACCTGTGAAGGCCGGCAAGGTGCACGGGGCGGTGGGTGGCCAAAACCACGCCCGACCGCCTTTGTCTTCCTAGTGGCTAGACACCGCACCAGGTACTAAATTGAGGCTGAGTCGACCTTGGGGAGGCCAATGATCGGTTCGAACAATCTTCACTGGTGTTGGCCGCGAGCGGGAATCGAACTCGGTTCACCGGGTTCATAGCGCTACACGACCACTCTCTCCGACACACACACACGCGCACAATGTATACCCCCACACAGTTTATCTCCCACACAAAGACAAAGATCCCCCGTCTGGCCTTAACAGACTTTTTGGGGCAAAGTGCAGTTAGCGAACCACCTCTGTAGGCCGGCACGGCACAGGAGGGGGTGGGTGGCCAGCACCACGCCCGACCGCCTTTGTCTCACTGGCGATGTTTACACATAGGACCAGCTCCTCGTTTAAGGCCGAGTCGAGCGAGGGAGCGGTTCAAATAACCTTCACCGTTGTTGGCCGTGAGCGGCACTAACCACTACGCCACCGCTCCCCCTAATTCACACACACACAGACGCGCCGCGTATCTTGTCGGTCGTCAACGTCTCCCTCATTTACCTTGCGACCAACGCGCTCACACCTCAGAGCACACGATGGCAGCGGGCAGGTGCAGCTCTCAGTCCAGAGAGGATGTGTGCCCCGATGTCCCGTATCCTGTGCCTTTTATAACGCTCCGCCAAACGCTCCCTCCCTCTCTCTCCCCTTGCAGCCAAGGCCACACCCCCGCACAGCCCTGAGATAGAGTAGCTCAGCTTTCTCTCTACACACACAAAGATCCCCCCCCCACCCCCCCCCCCCCTGTATAACCTTTAAGAGATCGTTGGGGCAAGTGTTGTTCGTGAGCACCTATGAAGGCACACACGTGCATATAGACACACACACACATTCGGACCACCCACAGAAAGACGAGCAGCTGCCACGAGTGGGCACGATGAGAGATGTGAGCGGGGGCTCAGTGCCCGGTTCAGCGAGAGGAGCTTGAGGGCGGTGTTGTTCATGCACGACCCCGCGACACTAAATCACGCCTAATAGAGGCAATGAAAGCCGCATCTGGGTCACCTGGTTACCTCATTCTACCCTTCCCGTGCACCTGTCCCATTGAAATGCACATATGCATGCGCGCGTGTGTCTGTGCGTCCATGCGCGCGCGCACGCACGTGCGTTAATATGCATTGCATGTGGGGAGCAGAAGTGGAGTGGTTAGCGCACTGCGGCACGGGCTCGATTCCTGCTCGCTGCCAACACCGGCGACGAATATCTGAAACCGCTCCTGGGCCTCCCCTAGGTCGACTCGGCCTCAAATCAGTACCTGGTGCGATCTGTAAAATGTCGCCGCTGGAGAGACAAAGGCGGAGCGGCGTGGTGCTGGCCATCCACCTCCTCGTGTTCCGTACTGGCATTCTTAGGTTCTCGCTAACATTGCTTTCCCCAAAAGTCTGTTAAGGCTTTACGGGGGATCTTTTTCATTGTAATATGTATCGGGAAGCGGTCGTGTAGTGGTTAGCGCGCTGCACTTAGAACCAGAGTAGTGTAAGTCCGCGTTTAACGCGGAAGATGCGTTCCCGAAAAGTGTCGCGTCAAGCGAAAAACGCGTTGTGCGAACACGCGTTAAGCGAGGACCTACCATGCAATTGGTGCATTCTTTTTGTATACCGTGCCCGCTTTCTGTCGGATTCAACATCAGACTCCACTGGGAGGCGATTTACTCGGTGTGCTGTTGGGTGGGGATTGTACACGTGCGTTAAGTGTTTACTGCGGCACATTGAGGAGAGTGGGGGGCTGAAGGCTGAACCTGCCCCATCAGTGGCGGCAGAAGTAACCAACCAACCCACTCGTCGTGGTTTGTTTGGGGTACCAATGAAAAATGTTGTTTTACGATGTTTATAGTTTATCATGTTTACGTGTTATTATACGCAGAGACGCGTCTGTGTGTGTGCGAATGTAGGTTGTGCCTATACGATCCAGCAACCCCCCCTGCTTCTAGAGTTCTAAAGTGTTGACCCGACACGCATTATACACCGATGCATTTGCATGTAAATATGTATATATATGAATATATATGCACATGCACGCACGTGTGCATCCATATGTATGTATGCAAAGAACATAGTGCATATATACGTGACTATATGAGCCAGCATTCAACGGGGTTTGACTATGCATATTGTGAAATAAATAGAGTGGCCCAAAGTCTGGGCACTTGATTCATTTTAACGCTGGCTTTAAAACATTTAAATTGTTTATGCTTTAAGTTCAGATTTTTTTCTATTATTATTACATATCTATGCTTCTTATTTCTTGTCAGATGTTAATGGAGTCAGTTTTCACTTTCGTTCTAATACATTAAATAACCCTTTGTGATTTGTTAATATAAATATAACCTTTAAGACCACCCTGTATGTCTGCAGATATGCAACGTGATTGTGAATAGAGACGAAGGGGTGCGTTGATTTATTATAATTTATAACTATTGATCGTTATCGATTCCTCGAGCTCACAATTCACGCAGACAATCACGTGCGCAAAAATCAACGTCTGTCGATTCGTATCTCGTACAATGGGTTCACGTGACTCAATCAGCCACTAGAGGCCGATACATTCGTCGCAATGTCCAAAAAAGAATCGATTATATTTAATAGAATCACGGTGTCAATTAGACCCCCGACTGTTGGTAAGTTGAGACGGGCTGCCTAACAGGAATATCCTGAATTGCTCGTGCCATGCCGCGCTACTTCTGATGTCTTATGAGATGTTTGTCAATGCGCTTACAACTTGGGAACCATGGGCGGTACAGGGATGAGCAACGCACCAATAATCTGCAATATAAATTGCTCCTTTACAAAATGCGAGCTTTGTTTTTGAGAGGCGTGAGCTGACCTGGAAAGTGCAGTACTGACTGGTTGTGATGCGTCAACTACAATAGTTGTCGTCATGCTACGGATAAATGTACCGTATCGTGAGTGCGTGTGTATGTTGACCTTCTTTCGCACCGTACGTATCCAACCGTGCTAATCGTAGGTGCGGGGGAAGGACAACGAACTAAACACAAACAGGAGTTCTAATGAAAGTGCAACGGAAAGAATCGTTGGACCAAGTTATAAGGACAGCGGATTGTTTTTCTTTCTCTTACACAGGCGCTTAGTACGGTCTCAAAAGCCCAACACATCAAGCGGCCAGCAACAACCAGCAACTATCAACGTTGTAATCGATGAAAGTGTGGCACGTTGCTTCAACTGAGCGATAAGAGGCTTGGGGAAAGAAACGATGGGAGGCAATTGCGTGTGACTTCGGAAAATAGGCAGGGAGATCAAATATTAGCAACCGACTCCCAAAGCAACAATGGGGTTTTGTGTGTGAGAAAAAAAGGTGACACTACTTGTTGTAATGCAAAATGTGTGCTCATCCTTCAGCCTTACATGCTCTATTGTTTGAAACAAGTTTTGCTGGCTGACCGGCTGGAGGGATGGAGGGTCACGTGCAAAGGACTTGCACGCTGCTCTTTAAGCTCAAGATGAACATGTTTTGCACGGGAGACCCTGTCCCTACACGGCAGTCGTCCTGCCTACACTGCTGCTGTGGTGAAACGGCTGATATCGGTGGCGAGTGATCGACGAGCCGGTCCTAGGCGTAGCGTGGCTGGCATGGGCCTCTCATAGGTCGACTCAGCCTTAAATGAGAATCCCTAGCGCGCTGTTATCTGATGCCCCGGGGGCACAGCTGTCTTGACGCAGCCCCGGGGTTTGACTGCTACGTGAATTTCCACCGCGTGGATTTGAAGACAAAAGGCCGTCCGGACAGGGGTATGAGACCTATGAAAAGCGAGCTCGGCGGCTCAGTGCACATCGAGTGGGATGCATTGTATTGATATTCTGGCTGGAGATGCGCTAATGAAGGGGTCAGGGCTGCACAGACCCGCGCTGATGAGTGATGTCCGCGTCCTTTCACGTAACGCCGCGCACGTGTGCAATTGTGTAGGGTCACGAGTTTATATATAGAACGTGCTTTGTGTGTGTGTGTCTTTGTGTGTGTGTTTGTTATAAGTGCACGTGTGTGTGCGTGCGTGTGTGCGCACGTTAAAGAGGGAACGGTGGCGCCGTGGTTAGCGCACTGCGCTACGAATCCGACGGTGACGATTTTCTGGACCAGTCCTGGGCCTCCTCGAGGTCGACTCAGCCTCAAATGAGTACCTGGTGCGGTGTGTAAACATCGCAACTAGGAAGACAAAGGCAGCCGGGCGTGGTGTTGGCAACCCAGCCCTTTGTGTGCCGTGCCGACCATCATAGGTGCTCACGAACACCACTTACCCTGAAAGTCTGCTAAGGCTATACGGAGCATCTTTATTTCTGTGCGTGTGATTACGCCGGCGTCTGTATATATTTGCACGTGTGTGTACATGCATGCGAATGACACGTGTATTCATTACGAATCTGCCACGATGCACAACGCAGGTGGCGATTGCTATCTGAACCTGGTCTGTGCTTCCGCGAAGTCGACTCAGCGCTGGGGAGACGAAGCGACCGAGTGTGAGCGGCATCGGCCACACCGCCCACTCACCCGCACCCTTGATAGGTGCTCACCAACACTGGTGCAGTGGCGTCAGTGGTTAGCGCAATTGCGCCGTGAACCCGGCGACGTAAGTTCGATTCCTGGGCACAGCCAACATCCGCGGCAAGTGACTTCGGAATCGGTCCTGGGAGCTGACAACTTTACTATACGTTCTGATTCACGTTCTCCTCTTTCTGTCCGTGTAATAATACAAGCCACTCCATGCTTCAGCCTTTGTTCCGTTTTCTTTGCCAATGCCAACGTTGGTGATGCATGTCCTTGCAAGGTTATACTAACACGTTGTTCCTTAGTCGCCTTGCTGTGTCGCTTTTCAACAGTAAGGTCCGTTTTTGTAAAAGTGACATAACCTATCGTTCATCGCCTTTCACGAGCTGCCCTAGGAACACGTACAGCTGAGCTCCTCCACACTCCAATATTATATCGTAAATTGTTTATGAAACTCGTCGTCCCTGACTTTCATCGTGCTCATATTTGCGACCTTTTGTTTTTCTTTATTAAGACCTTCGATCACTTCCTTTTCTTTCATGAAGTTTTACAATTTTTTCCCGTCGGAGGGAAATACAATAACGATTCATATTCTTAGGTTTTTTTCGGTAAAGTCACGTAGGTAATTTTTTTTAATGAATACAAGTAAAATAAAAATAAAAATCACGACGTTTCGGAGGCAACACAAGCTTCCGTCTTCAGGTGGAACCGTCACAGCACGATTGCTGTATCAAGTGATACAGCAATCCAAAACGTCGTGATTTTTATTTTATTTTCACTTTTATTAATTTTAATTTTTTACCTACGTGACTTTACAGAAAAAACCTAAGAATATGAATCATTGCAGTCACGAAAGCTTCAAATCTAGAAACAATAACGATTCTTCAACAATGAGTTCGTTCCCATTGGTTGTAGCAATGACCACGTGATAACGGCGGTGACGCGGCCCAGCAACAGCGAGTTGGCCGCACGTTGCAGAGGTTCGCGGTTCGTTTGCAGCGGCCGCCCCGGTCATTACTGCGGGCACAACAGCCGTATAGAAATACTAACGCGCCATCCGCTTCACGGTGGATGTTT